TCATAAGCCAGCGAACAATCTGCATTCCGAGGGCGATTCCAACAGTAGTTCAGTATACTGAGAGAATTCTGACGTTCTCATCTGAGTTGAAAATGTTCTTAAAAATAAAAATGCCTTTTTTAAGTTCAAAATGTTCTAAATGTGCTTGAATTAAGTTAAATTGGTTCTTAAAATCTAGTTGAGCTTAGTTTGTTCTTGAAATAAGAACGAAATGTTATTATTTTAGCACAGGGTTCTTAAATCAAATCGATTTTGTTCTCAAAAACCACAATCCCTCAAAACGTTCTCAATTTGAGAACGAAAAGGACTAAAGAATGAACAAAAATTAAGTTGCATTTCAACTTAAAGTGATTCAAAACTCTATTCCCTAATTTTTATGGATTTCCTAGAAAGCGTTAGGATGTTTTCGTTTGACACCTAGCACGCATTAGGCCATTTTCCTTTGCTCCAATACGACCTTACCATTAGATTTGCCCTTTTCGTCTTATTTATAATTCCCAACTGGGTCTAGCCCTTCATGAACCAAGGCCAAGTCAGATATTGAGACTTAAAGACTTTTTCTGGCTTAAGCCTTTAATAAACTTCCGCACCTTTATAAGGTGTAGGATGAAGTTACTTTGGAAAAGGTAATTGGACAACTACCTTAATATTACATATAAATTACTTTTGATCCTAAATGACTCTTATCTTTAGCTAAAATTAAATTTAAAATGCTATAGAATTGAGAGCCAAATGTTCTGAAAATATAACAAATGAACTTATTTTTGTATCCTTTGATTTAAAAATGTTCTTGAATTAAGGACAAAATCAACTTGAAAAAAGAACGAAATGAACTCAATGTCGGATTATTAGCTAACACCATTTCGTTCTGATGTTGAGAACATTCAACTCGAAATGAGAACATTTGTGCTTACCCGGTTTTTAAGAACGAATGTTCTTGATTTGAGTGCAATGTTCTTAGTTTTTTTTCTCTGTGTAGTAGTTTTGGCCAAAACCGAAAAACCGAAAAACTGAGAGACCGAAAAAAACTTGTGCTTCTGGCCATTTGATTGATGCTTGTTGCCAGCCAGCAGACAAACTGTTTAATTGGTAGAAACCAAATGCAAACCGAATCTGCATTGTTGATTATATAAGCGCCGCTGGGTTGACAAATGTTTAGGCAGGACTCTGATCCTGTTTTCACACATTGTGCAACACGAATGGGCCGCCGACAGTTGAGTTGTGTTTTCTTGGCTTTTTAGTATTTTTTTGTTGGATTTTTATTTCTTGGCCCCGCCCGCGCATTCTCACTTTCCGCTGAAATGTTCGATTTCAATTGGAAATCGCTGGTACGTGTAAAAATATTTGTGCAACTGACTGCGTTTTTCTTTTGGGCAGTTTCTGTGTCTGTAACTGTTACTGTTTCTGTTTCTGATTGCTGCCTTTGATGCATTTCAAATGAGTTGATTTATGGCAAGTTTTTGGCTGGCCGAATGACTGTCTGACTGACAGACTGCCACACTGACTGGATGACTGAATGACGGACCTCTGCTAACTGGCTGGCTTGTGGCTGTCGCAGCGCATGAATGAAGGCTTGTTGATGTTGTGACAGCTCCAAAAACTGGCCAGGCTCACAGACATGTTAAACTGCTTTAATTACTCCAGCCAGCATGTGTATATAGCTATCTACATATGTACATGCGGCTGATTTTTGGGCCATAGATTTATGAGAATTTTTGCCGCACCCAGTTGCAGTCAGAGTCGCAGTCGCAGTTGAAGTTGAAGTCGGACTCACAGATACATTTCATTTGGCGTTCCACTTTTCGGTGAGCTGCCCTTAGCCAAAAGGAAAGTTGGACAGGGAACAGGGACACGCTGGAACTTATCTCAACTGACCTGCAAATAGTTTTATTTCGAGCAGGGGAAAACAGCATTTGACGCCCACGCGAATGCAGAGAAACAACTGGCCCACATGCTAACCTTAGCCTTTATTTTCCCTGGTCTTCCACTGCGGGAGGACTTTGATAAATTCCGCACAAACACACAAGTAATTTGAATAATGAAGCGGGGGCCTTAACTGAGTTAGGGGGCATCAATCTGTCAACGCCGCGACGTCGCATTCTGTTGCATGCGCATGCGCACAGTTTGAGTTCGATGGGCTGCCTGCCACTGGCGGTGGGCCGCCAAAGAGCCAAACATTCAAGACATCGCGTGCCGCCGGTTGCGCTCCTCCTGTCCTGCAACTGGAAGCCACAGATCCGCGCAGATCCGCACAGATCCGCAGCTCCGCCGCGTGGGTCGTCGCAGTCATCGTCGTCTATCAATTAAACAAAGCGGCGCGGCGGCAGCAGCATCGACATCAAATGCAAGGCCGGCACGGCTGCCAGGTACTATGTTGAGTTGGACTCCAGACCCCGAAGTCTGGAGACCCCAAGACTGCAGTCTTGGACCCGATCCGTCCCGATCCGGCCACCCAAAACGCTGCTCCAGTTGCCATTTGAGCAGCGCTTCCGCGCTCTCGGCCAACCAGTTTCGTTTCTGCTGTTTGTCGGCACTGCAAAAACTGAGGGTAAGCATAGAGTTTTATGGCTGGTTAACATAAAATGGGTATTATTTGTGAATAGATTTAAAAGAAATTTCGAAAAACAGGTGCCACAAAAAGCTATGAACGTTTTTGATTAAAGAAGATGGCGTTATTATCAGTTACTAACCGACGATTATTTTTATGAGGCTGCAAAAGCGTGTTAAATTAGTTGTTAATAAACATTAGGCACTACAGATAAACGTGAAAGTTGTGGGTATATCCATTGTATTTTTTTGACCCTGCCAATTTCGCTTCCGCATTTAATGGGTAATTCACAATGATTTTCCCAGTGCAGCCGTTTTGTTTGACTTGGTTTGGTTTCGTTTCGTTTTGTGTGTTTCGCGGGTCTCGTGCAGGACAAACATGGAGCATTATTTAACGACACAATTCGTGCAACTCCCACGCATGCAAACGGCAACTCCAAACAAAACAAAGCCCCCCTTTCCAGCATCCCCCAAAAAAAAACGAGGCAAAAAGCTGCAAAACCGAAAGCGAAAAATGCGAATTGAGGGTCTGAGGTCCCCGGGCTGATGGCTGGGCTCTTAACTGATGGCCCAGCGACCGAAATTGGCGCAAAAATGTCACCAGCCTGCACTCCCAGTCGCATTGGGTGGATCGGGGGAATCTGCAGCTGAAGCTGACTCCGAATCTGAATCTCGCGCAGCCATCGATCATCGCAGCCGGCTAAAATGTCAAATTGGTTTATCAGCCCACAGGAAAGGCGGCTTTAATGTCAGTTTAGCAATTTGACAAATGACTTGCGATAATAAAAATGCTAAAAATGTGGCATGTTGCATGTGGCTCCGTTGATCTGTTGAAAGCCGAGAGTACGATGAACCCAGGGTCTAGAGCCTAATCCCATTTGGCTACCACATATGCCTCACTATCGAGAGCAGCTAATCGGCGATAAAGCCGCAGCTTGTTAGCTTGTTAAATCACATGTAAGCGTGGCTAAGTTCGAAGATTGACGATCGCACATCGCGGCCATCGCGGGACATTCATAAATGAGCAATCGCCGGTGTGTATCGCATTTCAGTGACTCGAACCACTGCCACAAATTACACGCAGACCGGCGACAAGGGGCATTAATAATTGGCCAACTAAATGCTGTATCGAAGCCGCCTGGCAAGTCTTATCAATAAAACTGTTTGGCCGGCCACGCCCGCACACACGCACTCCCAGGAAAATCCCACCTCCCCCCATTTGGGGGCACCGCGATACCATGATTCCGATTCAGATTCCGATTCCAGGATGACAAATTGCGCAAATCCATGAGATAGTTTTTGGCTCTTAGCATTTGCACGATCGCCCGGCCGTTGCATAATGTGCCGCTTAGATTTGTATCTGCTGCCTGCGCCATGTTGTTGACTCAAAACGCTGTCAAAATGGCCAGCCAGAAATGATTCGTGCGATAAAGCGCCAAAAAAGACAACGGCAAACAAACAAATGCAGCAAATGCAAGAGTTGCAAGTTGCGAGCTGCGAGTTGTGAGTTGGGCTAGGCCTGCTCCACTGACCGCCGGTCAGGCATGGACATTTAATAAACATTTTTGCACCATTTTTCAGCCGCCCGTTCGGCTGCTGCGACTGCCGCTGTCACTTCGGCTAATGGCCATCGTTAGCTGGTCATCTGCGGCCGGGCTTATCAATTTATCAGCCCCGACTGCGCGGCAATTAGCCAGTCTAAGCGTCTAATTAAGTTGCGCCTGTACGAGCAGATACAAATGCTGATCGATGGAGCGGCTTTAGCACGCGCAGATGGATGAGCAGTCGCCAGAAGAGCGCAGATGGCGATAGCCGAGAACATGGCAATGCTCTTGGCCGGGCTAAGCACCTGACTTAGCCGTCGATCTGCCCCGAAAGCTCTCTTTTTTTTTGGTTTTAGTGCGGCCTTTGGGTTCTTAAGGTGTTATTTTTCACCAGAAAAATCATTTTGATGCGATAAAATAAACTATTTTGTTTGGGCGTCACTCATGCGCAGATCCACGGAAAGATAAAAAGAAAATTTGGTATTCAAAATGAATGCAACAAAATATTTGTTCTAAAAAATTCCCAATCGATTGGCGTTCGTGTCTAAAAACATTAATATTTTGTTATATTTTCCATTATTTTTCAAAAAATTTATTACTTATAAAAAATGGAAAAACTTGGAAATTTATTTTTAATTTTCCTAAAAGTAATGTGCTTAACAAAGTTCTTACAAAATAAATAAGAAAATAAAATACTTTAAGCATTTCAGTGGGAATATTCCTTAAATAGTAAACGTTGTATATGTAAAATGTAGTTTATTTTTGTTCTCAAACTTTACAAGTAGTTTCCCTTGTCCTACTGTGACTCATTCACAGATTTACAAAAGTAATCAACAAGAAAAATCAGACAAGGTTTTTGCCGAAAGAAAAAATAAATATATATGAGTAGACTTATCAAAATAACAAGAATCACATGCCGTTGACAGGGCCTTCCTGCCTCAAAAATTCCCGACCGTTCGCCAAAAGTCCCCGATAGAGCTGCTCAAAGAACCGGCACTCCTGTTCCGAAAGGGTCAGCACCAGCGTGTCCGCCTCTGTCTCCGGTCCAGATTCCTCTGCAAAATCATCGGCGGAAAAAGGAGGCTGGAGTTCCGGCCTGAAGTCGCGTCTGCAGAGCGGACATCGCGAGTCCCGACCCAGCTCCAAATACTTCTCGAAGCACTCCGCGCAGAAGGAATGGCCGCAGGATATGCGGTGCGGAAACCTCTGCTCATCTAAACAGAATATGCACGGGTTAGCGGTCATGGTCACAAAGTTTGAAGCGGAGTAGTGTAGTTCCCGTACTAGCTGCACTTGTATCACGGCTATTTTGTTTGACAGGTCTTGGACTACAAAATATAGGACACACATGTAGGGGACGCTCTGTAGGTAGAATTAAAATTCCTGTTGAGAGTTCCCACCTCGTTTGAATGAAAACTCAACGCTTGCTGGGATTTTGTACTAATATATGGGACGTTCCATGTCAACCCGGCCACCCCACTTTTTTCTTTTTTTTGTATGTGGACAGTACCACATTGATTGCAAAGCCACTTGCTTCCAATAGTTTACCTCATACCTACTTTATCAATGTTACCACTCTTTCGCCGTATAATCGCGTTGAAAAGAAAACACAAAATCATTTTTATCCTGCGAACGGAAGAAACAATTAGCGTGGTTCAAAAGCAGAAAAATCTGTCTTCCCATGGCCGATTACGAGAAAAAAAATAGATTTTATTGGACCGTAGATGACCAAGCGATAGTGTTCAAGAAGAACACTAATTGTCATAAATTTAAGATTTTACGGTCTCTGTTCATGTCAATATGTAAATCTATCCAGAGTCGTAAATAATGATCTGTAACTTAAAACGTACAAGGGTGCAGTGCCGAACAATTGTAATCTTAAGTACAGGCCACTTGAGCCTGACCATAAAATATAGTTCTCACCCTGTACGACGGGTCGCTTTGCAGGAGGCCGTTGATAAGGCTCCCGCTCAGGCAAACAGATGTGGTCTCTGCGTAGACCATAGATAAGTAATCATAAGAATTTCATGTTAGCTACGTAAGCGAAGACTTAGAAAAATAAAATCAGTTTTTATACAGAACTCAAACGTGAAGGTTGTTTTCCTTGTTACAGGAATCCCTTTCAGATAGCGTTTTTAAAGTCTAAAAGTAGGATTTCGTCCAAAGGGCCAGTCTGCAAAAATACCATTATATTTTTCTCAGAAAGCCCCATATTTAACGGATTTTATGCCACTGGTTTTAAAGTGGGATCTCTCTTGAGGAATTAGCTATGAATTCTTTTGTACGTTTTTGTAGTCGTTAACTGTCAGAAAAAGCTAATAAGTAATATAAAATAATCGTATATGCTTTGGAAAAAATTAACAAATCAATGAAAAGAATTCATAGCTAATTCCTCAAGAGAGATCCCACTCTGAAACCAGTGGCATAAAATCCGTTAAATATGGGGCTTTCTGAGAAAAATAAAATGGTATTTTTGCAGACTGGCCTTTTAGACGAAATCCTACTTTTAGACTTTAAAAACGCTATCGCTTGGTCATCTACGGTCCAATAAAATCTATTTTTTTTCTCGTAATCGGCTATGAAAAGACAGATTTTTCTGCTTTTGAACCATGCTAATTGTTTCTTCCGTTCGCAGGATAAAAATGATTTTGTGTTTTCTTTTTAACGCGATTATACGGCGAAAGAGTGGTAACATTGACAAAATAGGTATGAGGTAAACTATTGGAAGCAAGTGGCTTTGCAATCAATGTGGTACTGTCCACATACAAAAAAAAGAAAAAAGTGGGGTGGCCGGGTTGACATGGAACGTCCCATATCTATTATGGTTGGAAAATACTTTCGCCATAATAGAAGAGAATATTTTTTACCCTCTTAAAACTTCACTTTTTTGGTTTAAATGATATTTTCAAACTATTAATACATAGACTAACATTAAAAGGCCCAAAATGATGTATAATTTCGGCTAGAGTTGTCAGGAGGTCGTGATGCGATATCTGACTTAGCGCCGACATATATCGATATCATTGTTAGCCAAGGCAACACCTCACCACTTCATCCCAGCTGCACCCAGTTCTTGATGAAGTTCTCATTGAGATCGTGTTCGGATCGCCGCAGACCGTTCCCAGGCAGCTCTTTTGCATAATTCCATTTAATCTCGGCCAGAGTTGAGGGCAATTTTCAATTTGCCTTGCCGACGACGCTCCTGTGGCTCTGGCTGTGTTATTGTTAATACTTAGCCGTACTCAAAAGCCATTGTTGTTGCCGTGTGCGGCCGTTGTGTTGTTGCCATTCAAATTGCATTCAAATCAATTACATTCGAACTAAACATAATTCATGTGGTATGGGTTAATACAACAAATTACAACTGACATTTAAGCAGAAACATGAAACGGACAATTTAACATGAGCGCGGTGGGCAAAGGGGGCAGCCCCCTCAGCCAGAAAAAGAAAAAGAGAGACATAAAGGCGAGCTCTCGACAAAGGCCGCTTTTTGGGGCTGGCAGGCATCATATGCAGCCGAAAAAAGGCCACAAAGATACGAAAACAGAGCCCCAACTTCAAGTTGGCCCAGCCGCAGCCGGCAATCAAGGCATAAAGCTGAGTGACCTTCAGTATCCGTAAAATGAAAATAAACAAAAAGACAGAAAAGGCACGAAAAAAGTGCAGCCCCACACACTGGCTAAACAACAATAAAATTCTTTTCTCACGATTGTTGACTTTAACACTTGCAGGGAAAAAATGGCCCAAAAGCGAGGCAAAAAGTTTCGAGTGCGAGGGTGCACTGGAAGAAAAGTTATTGGAAATTAAAAATTGCAATGTAGCTTGCAAAAAAAATGTAAATATTTATTGTCATTTGTGTTTCCAGCTTTTCCACTTTCAAACCTTTAAGTTCAGTAGTAAAATTTTAATTGCCAGTTCGCATAATTTCTCCGAGTGTACCAGTATTCACTGTCATTGCCTGCGAGTGAGAAATAAGCCTCGGCACAATGAAAATGAGCAACTGCTACTGGGAAGTGCTTGCCGATCTGGCGACAAATTTGCAATCTGCGATCTTCAGGCGGAAGACGTTGAACTGCTCCACATGCATTTCAATGGAAGCGCAATCGAAGTGCAGATAAATGTTCTGGGCAGCTTTTGTTTTACTTAATTTTATGTGCTCTGCATATTTTCGCAGGGCCAGGCATTAAGCATTAAGCATTTTGCCAGCGTGCCGAACGCATTTATTCGCTGCACTCTGTTTATCGATTGAATGCATTCTGGCTTTTGCCTTCTGCAATTAAGTGAAATTTATGTTACTGCCGGTTCGTCGCTTAAGTCTTTTGTTTGCGGGTCGCGCGCCAAGGCACGTAAATTGCCGAAAAAAGCGGAGTGACGCGAAAAATGTGTTTCCTACTTAGCGTGGGCAGACAGTAAGCCAGTAAGCCGGCTCTCGCCAGCTCACTTCGGCAATGGCTATGGCTATGGCGATCCTGGTATCCCCGGCTCCTCATTTTAATCCGCCGCGTTGGTGGCGTGCATACATAATGCATAATTACCGGTTTCACTTTTCTCTCTCGTCTGCGATTATCTTGGCATGCCTTGGCGTTTTTATTCCACTCCGCAGATATTTTATTTTGCAGGCATTGCGGTTTTATTGCCTCGCTCGTATGGTTTCTTAATTTTTAATTTTTATGATGTGTTAATGGATATTTTTGTGACATGACCTCCTGGCGTGCCGTTGTCGTTCGTCAAGCTCTGTCCGTATGTCCGCCTGTCTGTCCGTCCGTCTGTCTGCCAGTATTAAGTTCAAAGCCTCGAAGGGGGAAAACAGGAGCAGGGAAATCGAATCCCAGCCGGGTATTATGCAATCTCTGCCTGTAATTGAAGCTATTTAAAGCTCGTTACACGGCAAGGACAGCGGTGCAGGCTGAGACTCTGACAAGGGCGTTCATCCCAAAGGGGCTGTCAATCAAGTGAAGCGGCTTGGTGCAGGCAGCGGGCGCTAGGTGGCGCCGCCACTAGCCATTTCCCATTTGGCCAATCATCGCGGTTAAGTGAGCTCCTCGCAAGCAAATGTGACCCAATTCGGGATCGGGATCGGAATCGGGGATCGACTTGTCGCTCAAATTGCACGCACAGAGCCCTCGGACACGGACTGATTACAGGGCCCAGGGCATGCAATTTGCATCAATAAAAGCTGCGGCCGAAGAACTGGTATCTGGTATCTGCGATCTGCCTTTGCTGCTGCTGTAGGTCAGTTTGCAGAGGAGGAAGAGCAACAAAAAAGCAGTCCAAGCGTTGATTTGTTGCCTGCTTCTGCATTCTGGGCCTTCAATCAAGTGACGATGGGCGCAAACGAGCAGCAGATGGACTCCTGGGCTAAAAACCGCCCCACCCCGACTTTCATCTCGGCCGCGTCTTAACCCAAAACTCCCCTCTTATCGGATAAGAGCCAGGCAGCTGATTTGACGGGTGTCGGACCCACTTGATCGGCCAATAATTACTTTCTCTGCGGCCTGTTATTGATTTCGGCCGATTGCCGCCATAATTTTATTATGCATCATTAAGATAAAGCCTCCCAGAGCCATTTGCAAATTGTTTACAGCACACGGAATCATCTTGAAAATGCTCAAATCCCCACCCATCGCATCTCGCTCCAAATCTGAGATCATTTTCACAGGCCTCCTAAGTAAGACTTTCCAAAAAGCCAAAGCCCAAAAGATTATTATGTGCGAATGTGAAAGGGCCCGTTGAAAAGCCCATCAAGAAGTTGGGAGGGAAATAAAATTACACATTAGGGTATCGGTCATTTGAATAGAAGGCTGGTATAAATATATAAATGTAAATGTGTTTTTATGAATGCCACGCGGTGATTCATGGGTTTAATTTCGGCACAGTTATATTACCTAGTTAGTGCAGGCTGATTTCGAGGCCTTTGAACTTTGTGGCCGAGCATCCAGCTTCGACGGAAAACAATCAAGCATGAAGGTTATAATTTTGAAAAATTAAGACGGCTTTTATCTGGAACTCGTTAAGGCAACCATTAAGGATAGGCGTGCAAAAATTGAACATCAACTGGAAGTGATTCTCAGTGACTTTTAGTACCAAAAAATCCCCGATCTTACTCGATGAATGATCTATAATTTTCAAAACGGTAACAAAATCGCTAACAAAGGTTGATCTCTCCTCAAGAGCCCTTGCCCTTTTGAAGTACTTATTTATAAACACTTGTGAACCAAGTAGAAGCTAAAGCCTTATTGTTAAAT